ATAATAAATTTCATTTTGTATTTTACTGAAAAATTCTATCTTTTATCTTTCATTGCTTTTATAACAAAATTTACTTATTAGATAAGCTAGCAAAGTTACCGCACACACATATTGTCTATGAATATTATTACATTTAATCGTCGCGGAACATACACGACCTTCATCGATAGGTACTGACAGTTATACACATCCTGGCAATATTCTCTTACAAGTTTAAGTATAAAGTTACGCTTTGCAACGCCGGCAATCAGTAATGTAGAGTATATGTCTAGCACATCACGCCTGGATAGTTTGTCAAGTAATTTGTCAGTTGAATAGACTCAGGTGACATAGTTGTTTAACGAATAGTTTATCCCGGTAGAAGAGTAGATTTAGTTTTAACAACACTTTTATTGTTCAGAGTATGAAAATTAAAACAACTTCTTTCATCAACTTTAAAATGCACAACGATGAAACGCCATATAATATGTAATGATCGATAATAATGCAATTTGCGTTACATTTCTATTCATTAAGTATTTGTTGCACTGTAATGCTTGGGCTGTATAATATCGGTGATATAAGCATTTATGTATTATAATTATTAGAGGAATTTAATGATCTGGATTGTCATTAATGAAGGCTTATTAATATATAAATTTCACGCAATATATAATATAATATAATTGCGTTCCAAAATCATAGTTTATTTTTATTACGCTGAAATTATCTTTAACTTTGCACATGTTTTATAAATCAAATTTTAGATTTGATGTAAATATTTAAAACCTAAGAAAAATAACAATTCAGAAGCGTTCTATACTAACTTTCTATTTTTTGACAGTCATTATGTATGTTCATAAGCGTATGACAAAACGTCGAGTATATTCCTTTTAGTAGTATAAAACTAGTTAAATTAGAAAATTTAAAGGAAGAAAAATCATAGATGAATTAAATGAAGAATTTAAAGTCATTTTAAATATGAGCTCAATTTTAATATACAATTTCTTATATTTCTCATAAATCAAATCATTTATTTGAGCGAAATTTTGTAATAGAAACTTTGACTTGCGTTTGTCGTAAAATGCAGATATAAATTTATAATAACACATGACATCCTACGCTTCTAATGACCCAGATCAGTCATCTGATTAAAATTTTATAAAAAACTAAGTTTTCAATAATTTTCCATATATGTATTATAAGGTATTTCTGTCCGTCTAGGTTCATGGTGGTATTGGTGTGCCTCATATTTAGTGTTTTGTCAACGATAGATCAATACAGTAACTTCGCTAACGAAACTCTGTTTTGGATGGTGAGTAGTTTGCATTCATTATTAACAATAACATATAGTGTATAACTGGATAGAATATTAAAAGTGTCTCTGGATCGACTAATGTCAATAATATTTTAAAGAAGTACTACGTAAAACTACAAGATTAAGAATATTCTGTCATAATCAAATCGATTGCACATGCAAAGGAAAAGATTTCTACCTATTTCTGTATTTTTTATACATAAATTTAAAATTACAACTTAATGTTTTAAGAAAAAATTAAGAAAAAAATTAAGTGTACTTAGAATTCTATGTGATTGTAAAGTGCTTATTATAGGATTATTAGGAATTAGATTATTAGGAATTCATAAACAAAGGTTTTATAATAATAGAGTTAACTTAGATTTCACTTAATTAGTCCCTTAAAAACATTTTACATTTATTGAACTGCTCGAAAATAGACTTTATATAAATTTCCAAAAAACTTTTCTTCTTCCAGTGTCGAGCTGCACAAATAAGAATTCTCTCTCTCTCTCTCTCTCTCTCTCTCTTATTTTCACTTAAAGGAAAAAAAAATTCAAGTTTGCAAGAGTCTATGCGAAATCATGTAACTTTTGTATGACTATCGTCCATACACAAGTCAATATTGCTCGGTACATTATAAAAATTTACGGAATATCTTTGGAATACTTTCTCATTTTTTCCACATGAAAATATAAGCGAACATAAAACATGAAATATCCTAAATCATACAGAAATACAGTGTAAGCTGGTTCTCAAGGATCTCGTTCACTTTGGCTCTAACATCGACGTTCTCGTTTTTCTAGGGCGTCTCATTCGTACATCGTTCATATAATCGATACAATAGTCACTTCCACTTCTACGCTACCGAGTTTATTGCATATTCATTTCAGAAATTATTAGCTAATGTCCATACTAATCTACAGAATTCCGCTTAATTTTCTTCTCACCAATATTGAATAATTAAACCTTCAAATTGTCAGTCGCTATACTATCGCGTTCAATTACTTCCGTTCGAAATAGTATATGCAAACCTTATTATACTTTATACATTTTTATATAATATGAATTAGTTTATATTTATTGCATTTATTGTTAATAATAATAAAAATAATAATAGAATAGAAATGACTATATTTTATATGAAAGGAAAAAAAATAGATGAATATATAGAAGGATAAAAGTGAGTGAAGTGAGTTTTGAAGTTCTTTTTCTGTCTTTCTTCATTTACGTTAAATATGAAGAGATAGTTTAAATAGATGTCGTACATTAAACGAATTATTAAGAAAACTGAATAATACATTCAGGATCTATGATTTTTTTATAATAGGATATAGGAATATATCTTTGTTTAAGCTACGTACACACACAATATTTATAATAATTTATTTTATTATTAATTTATAAAAAATTTTTTAAATTATATTATAAATTTTTAAGTTATATTAAATTATATAAGTTTGTCATTACATACACGTCCATATAATTTTTTAATTAGTAAACTGTTTTTCAAAAATTAAATCTTATATGTATAATATTTTATTCTACAATTACAATACAATTTTATTTTTACAAAGATTATTTCCTTTTTATCATTATTTCTATCTTACTAAGTTATTATTATATATATATTATATATATATTATTTAACTGATGTTAAGTCAAATTAAGAGGCTAAAAGATTAAATATACTTTAAGTCTGCTAAAAATAGTGACACGTGGTTAGTGATATAATTATTTTGAATTTATTTCAAATAAAAATTTGGCAATCAAGATCCTGCTTGCCAAGGAATTGGCTACGAGTCTCTCAGTTGTTTATTAACACGTACTCGGCGTACATTAATTGTTAATTATACTTCATTATCGTTTAGGAAATATGTCTCGTGGTATTCTTCGGAGTCGAATATCTGGTTCGATTATGGAGCGCGGGTTGCAGATCCAAGTATATGGGTTGCTGCGGACGACTGCGATTTATACGAAAACCGATTTGTATTATAGGTAAGTTTGTCGCACGTTTTCTTCTAACGTCGAGTCGCAATGCAGGCTAAAATGCGATAAAGCCAAAATTAATCTGATATTTGCATTGTCCGATTGATCAGTGCAAAATTGGATCGGGTGAATTGTCTCTTTGTTTCGAATCGTTTGTATAGGATTGTTTGCGGCTATCGCTATCGGTCAACTTTATGATATTAAGCTCTTGCTTCAGAATCGAATCCATTTTGGTAAAATCAAGATTGTTAGCGCTTTGTATCGCAGCCATCGTTCTGTCGGACACGTTTCGTAAATGAAACATACGCGACAGTTTGCAGCGAAATTCTCCCTTAATTAAAGATTCACATAAAATTGATTATCTGGTCTCTGTTTTACCTCTGTTGTCATAATTTCTGCACGTATATGATATATTTATGTTTATTTATTACTTGCTTATTTAAAATATGAAACATAAAACAAAATTTTCAGTAAAATACAGTGGAACAATTTAAATCATGAGTGATGTCTCATCGTCGAGTTCATGCACAGCAAAGTTGCAAAGAAAATTTTTTTTTTCATTATTGCATATAGAATATAAGAATATATTATTTCTCTGTATATTTAAATTTAGTTAGATTACAAGTAAATTAGTAAAAATGTTAATGTTAACGTATTAAAAACTACACTGCTTTTAACAATATATATTCCGTTCGGATTTATCTCGCAATTGTGTTCTCGTCTCTTATATTAATATTTTTACGCACGATATTTTTCTAATTTGTTTCTTTTAGATTTAATCGTCGTGGTAGCATCCATGGTAGTCCTATCGGTAGGAAGCAACGGTCAAGTATTCGCTACTTCCGCCATCAGAGGCATCCGGTTTCTACAAATTTTGCGAATGCTTCATGTCGATCGTCAAGGTGGCACGTGGCGACTTCTGGGTTCGGTGGTTTTCATACATCGTCAGGTATATGTTTGTATATAATTATGAAGATTTTTAATTTTCATTTTCTGACGAAAAGGCCTTAGTAATGATTTTAATTGCCCTAAATATATATATATATATTCAATCCATTTTCTTAAAATGAATTAAAGTGATTTAATTATTTCGAAATATAGAGAATATTTCAGAACTTGACCTACAAGTAGGAAGAAGGTGATAAAGAATGAAGTCGGAAATGTAGTGTAAAATTTTTACATGAATATACTAATAAATATTCAAAACTGTTTTAAAAAAACAATCTTGAATATTTATTAGTATATTCAATGTATGATTTGATATCAATATTCTATGTTATTTCTACACATATTTGTATTTACATTGTCAAGATATCAAGCTTTTTCTTGTATTAGACTTATCTTTTTCGATAATAAATTCATCTCTATAATTCTATCAATAACATTTTCAATAATTTGTAATATAACAACATTTTTAGCAAACAAATATGTCTTATCTTATTATGTGTTCCCTTTGATAATGGTGTAACCACAAACGCATATCTAACAAATATTCAAAATTTGTTTTTGCAAAATAAAGTCTCGTATAAAACAATTTTATTCTACATTTTTTATTTATCTGCTTATATGAAATCACTCTTCTCGTTTGTATCACCAATTCTGGAACATCTTATATATGCACATCGATATTAATTCTTGTTAAATATTCGTATTCTTATTTAATAGGAGTTGATCACAACGCTATACATCGGGTTCCTAGGCCTCATTTTCAGTAGTTACTTTGTATATCTTGCCGAAAAAGACGCAGTTGGACCCGACGGCAAAACAGATTTCTCGAGTTACGCTGATGCACTTTGGTGGGGAGTGGTGAGTCCTTTTTATTATTCTAATTCTTTTAACAATTGATATTTTCCGAATTACGAATATCATCGATTCATCAATCTAAATTCTTTACGTAATATATGAATTTCTAGATTAATAGAAATGAATAATATTTTTCACTTGCTAGTTGCGTAATTCTTTGTAAATAAAAAAAATTGATAGAACGCTGAAGAATGTATTTCTTTGATATTACAGATCACGGTAACGACGATAGGTTACGGTGATACCGTCCCGCAAACATGGATGGGGAAAATAGTAGCCTCATGTTTCAGCGTGTTTGCTATATCCTTTTTCGCACTTCCAGCTGTGAGTATATTATTATAGAGAATATTTTTCCTTTTTTTATGATATATGCGATATGTCATATAATTAATCGCTTTTCGTTTTATAGGTTTTTTTTTTTTAATTAACATATAAAATCGATTTTTTTTTTAAGTATGCTGTTAAGACTTTTAGTCTTCAAAAGGCTATATTTATTATAACCATACCTTATTAATCATACCTTATTAATCATAATCGACATAAAATTTTTATGTTATTTTTTTATGTCGACTATAATCAATGAGACATTCATGGTTATAATAAATGTAGGATCTATTATGGAAAAATTGTGAATTAGATTATTGATGATTTTAGGGTATTCTAGGTTCCGGCTTCGCACTGAAAGTACAACAGAAGCAACGGCAGAAACATTTCAATCGGCAGATACCGGCTGCTGCCATGTTGATACAGTGTTTGTGGAGGTGTTATGCCGCCGATAAAGCCATCAACAGTGTCGCTACATGGAACATTTATATTAAGGATCCAGCTCCAGCCGGCCAACCCTCGACGCCTCTCGGCAAGGTAACGTTTCCCGTTTGCGAGTTTGGCGAGAAGGACCGGAGAGTAGTCGTATTTAGCTGTTGACTGTCGATGTTCTTAGCTGCTTATATAATGTTTTTGAACACTCTAACTAACCGTACCGCGCTGAGAGACAAACGCTAATCTCGCGAATCTCGTAATAATCTAAAGTCGCGAATCTCGTTATCGCTTCGCGTTAAAGTATGCGAAAAACGTACATCCTTCTCCCTCGCGATCTTGCTCGCGCGCGCAGTCAATCATTAAGGCGCGCTAATAGATTTAGAATTACCCGTAATTTCGTATTTAATTTAATTGCTGCTAAGATTTTCTGCAACTTTTGCTGCGAATGCTTTTTCAGTCGTGTGCCGATTGTCGATTAATATTACAGAAAACTCGTCTTTGTGTTTTCTCTTAAGCGAATTACGAGAAATTAAATGTGCCTTATGTTGACCTGTCGAATGAAGCAAGCTTGAAAGGAGACTAATTCACGAGACAATACAGAGTGTTTCGTAACATGTGGGACCCACTTCAGGAGTGGATAGCGAACACAAAAACAATGAAATATATGCTTTCTTGCAAAGAATATCAGGGACTTTGAAAAAAATTCGAAAAATATTACTATAAGATTTTCCTTCCGCGGTATTCCTCTTTTGAAACCATTCAAATTTACATAACATTTCTCATTTCATTAAAAACGAAAGGGATATTTAGGTATTTTTCTTACGCTGGGGTGCTGTATGTCACTAATAAATCATGAAATCTGACTTGCTAGTTCTTTTATTTAATATTATAACTTTTACTAATTTATTGAATATTTTATATAATATTTAATATTTTATGCATAAATATTTTGTTTCAATATTTTACATAATATTTTTAAGTTTATATATGTATATTTTTTTATATTATATACTGATAAAAATTATAAGTTTATTTTTAGTAAATGTTAAATTCGTTTTATTTTGTACATTTATTATAAATTAACAGTTATTTAATTAAATGGTTTATTAATTTTAATTATTTTCTTTCTCTCGTCTATATCATAATCTATTAATTAAAAGTATTTCAAACTTTTGGACAAATATTTTATTAGACTCTATAATACCTTCGTGCAGATTTGTTTAGGATATGAAATAATTTATTAAATATTAATCTAAATAGTTTTATTAATAGAAAGACTATTATTAAAGATTATTATAAAAAATTTTCCATGCAATCTATTTTGCACATAATGGTAAGATTCGCGAGGGAGTTCTACCATCTGAGATTTAACATTCCAATAATTCCTTACGAGTCCTAGTGTTGTATAATAACGATAATGACGATAATGGCCGCGTATTTTATAATATTTTTTGTCCGATGATAATTTGGCAGTGGATGAATGCAATCGGAATATGTAAACTTTTTGCTCGATGTTCTCAATGTGCCGTTACTTATCGCCAAGATCCAGGTTTTGTTTCTTCCTTCATGTTGCTAGTGTGTTTATGCAATTAAAAATGCGCTAGAGGCTTCTGTACATTATTTCCCCTTCCATATATGAGGTAATGAGAACTGCGCTTTTGTTTTTTGCTTGGTTCAATTTGCTTTTTTCGATTTACGTATCGCGCATTCATATCCAAAACGAAATATTTTTAATAGATTGATTTTGTTTATCCTTTGAATATGTATACTTTATAATTTTAATATCATTTGTTAGTTGGAATGTTCACATGAACACATGAAAAATGTGTATAGATACCCCCATCAGAATATATTTTTATGTGTGAACGGCCTAATTTAATTACATTCGTTTTTGAGCATAACTTTTTTCAGTGAAATTGTCGCAGTTTTATGAAATGCGAGTTGGCGAATTTCCCGCATTCATATAATTATATGCATTCGAACTTCCATAACTTCATATTTATTTTTTTATAGTTACTGTTAAGTATAGTTACTGTTAGCAAATGTTTGAACAATACATCAATCGGATCGCATTATGTAAATAAGAATTTCATGAGAAGTTAGAAGATGAATTTTATCATCATAATATTCACTTTCTTTTTTTATTAAATTTATATTTCCAATATTATCATTTAAAAATATCAATCAATAGTTGTCATCTTTAAATAAATTGCTTTTGAACACAGTTCATGTGACACGATATTTTTAGAATAATTTTTTCAATATGGTATTATGTTTGAGTTTCATTTTTGTTTGCAATTATTAACATCGATACCCATTTTTATATTATATTATATATATTATATATTTTCAGACGTCATAAAAATTCGATCAATGTATATACAGAAGATCTTTGTATACATATTGTTGAACTAACCTGATAATTCAAATCTCTAACAAGTAAAGTTGAAAAAGATTAGTAATTAAATGCACTAAATTAGCTTATCAGCATATTTCTCGATTAACATGAAGCGGCTATATTCGTAGGAACAGAACCTCCGTTTTACATCTGCTGCCAAAATTTTCAAATTCCATTCCTCTTAAAATTGCACAATATCGCGAGCACGATTTTACGATATATTGTTTGAGATAGTAAAAACAATGCTCAGCGACGATTTGACGATAATATGATAAAATATACTTTAAATATATTTCAGTTGATTTGTGTAAAGAAGATGGTATGTAAATGGTTTATATTTATTTCCATTTCTTACTCTCTTTTGTCATGTTTATTTTTTCTAAACTTTTTATCACATTTCTTTACACTTTTCTGTTACATGATGTAAAACGTCATCTTTTATGTAAATCGGGGTCACTATACATATCACGTATCTGCTGAATGTAGAATATATGCATATTAAATGATATATTCAACGCAATCACAAAGGATCATATTCTATCGCCGCACACTTAGTTGTAATGAGGATGGCTGCTCGATTTTAAGTCTGAGCCTTTGCATAAACATGTGTTCACTGTGCTCGCGTTTAATATTTAACCCTCAGAATATAATATCGGTTTGTAAAACGGATCCAGATAATATCTAAAAATAATTTTCTCATCTTCCTTATTCTAACAATAATATTTGATTGAAAAATATTTTTTTTCTTTTCTCATTTTTTTTTCTTACTTTTATTTATTATTTTAATTTGAATTATTTAAAATCAGAACTTTCTATTCCTTCTCTATGAATGGTAATTGAAAATAATTGAATACGCTAATCATCCGTCAAATCATTGTTACTCAAAATCAAATAAAATTATCCTGAGGTTTAAATTTGCACCGGGAGTATGGATTTGAATATATCGTTATCGAGAATTTCCGAATTTTCAAACAAAGGAAAGAAACAAGGACAGTTTTTATGAAACTATAATGCTGCTTTTTACCCTATTGCGATCTCTTACCCTAATGCAACCCTTTTATCTATTTCTATCAAGATATTGCGTTTGAGATTTTCTTTTTTTTCCGTTATTAAACCTACAAACATTAATGTAAAATAAATATGATATTGTGAAATTTTTCTTTTATCTCTTTTTTCAACAAACAAGATGATTTATCCGTGCGCGTTTGTACAAATTACTTCTTAAACGAATGAGACATTACGTAAGCTTCTTACAACTTGCTTACAGACAAACAATATAATCGTCTATTTGATCGTGTTTGCGTCTTTATGTCTTACGCTTATATATTTTTCTTTTACTATATGTTTTTCCTCTTTCCTCTCTCTAAAGGTAGCGAGCAGTATATCACGCGATATAAAAAATAACTTTATCTTGACTGATTGTTGGATATTTATAGTATGCATGCGTCTGAATTAGTGTAACATTTTTAACTCTATGTATATGTATGTTTATATACCTATATATTACCTGTTGTTTCTGTCTCTTCTTGGTCTCCAGAGGATTTAAAATTTCACTCGTGAATTTGCAACATAGAAATGGGAGTTTACGTCGGTCGTATGGCTTTTGAGGATTGTCTGAAAAATATAGAGTATTATGGAAGACAAAGCCCCGGAAGATCGGGAAATGCTTAAAATGTTTGTTAATTGTTAAGAGCACTCTTAAAATATTTATTCGAATGTGCTTCCGAAAGTGCACATTTTTGGAAAATAAAAATATGTACGTATGTTCGCATGAAGTCTTCTCATCGGCGCTGTTAGTATAGTTTGATTGAGCATTTCCGAAACGATCTGTGTTTATAAAGTAAAATATCGACAATGAGAGAAAAAAAACGTGTATTTTGTATAACACGTTCAGCATATCGATATTATACTTCGGGGATTCCAATATACCAATTGTCCGTTTCGTTTTAAGAGGATGTCATAACGATATCAATTCGCAACCGACGTAATTTCCCGATGTTCGCCCTCGCGTTTTCCGCGAAAAAATCCATTGCTTTTGCACAATATTTTTTGGCTAATGATGACCACGACGACAATGATGGGATTGAGAGAAGGGGGGAGGGGGGGGGGAGGATCGAATAATCGTTAGTAGGGATAGTGCATGTTGTGTTCGATGTGTGTTGTAATGGGAGGGCACCGGGGGTTCAGTCTCTGATGATCCAGGTGGCAAAAAAAGGCGAATGTGCTGAAGAGGCGAAAGTCACGGAATCGGATGGAAGTTCAACAGCAACAACAACAGCCAGCCTTGCCGCCCGTCACGATATCGGGCGGCATATCAGCCGGCGCCGGAACTGGCCAAAATGACAATCAACGTCTTGAAAACGAAGGGGATGTGGTTTTTTACATGGAAGAACCCAAAGTGGGCACGCCGAATCGCGCTAGACGTGACAATCGGTGAGTGATATTAAGAAATTTTTATATTTAAGACTAAGAAAAGGGAATTGCGTTGGAATATTATTTTATAATTAATCCTGAGAATACTTCAAATTCTAGTTTCTAATTAATAAATAAATTGAATAGAAATCTTTGCGCACATAAATAAATTTAAAATAATTTATACATAGAATTAATACATACATTCCAAGTCAAAAGTTGAAACATCTTTTAAAATTTGACATTTTTGAAATTATTTACTCAAATATTCCTAACAATGTGTTGTCTGAATTATTTGGAAGAAAAAGAACAGAAAGGAGAGTTTTAAAAAATCTGATATAGCTTTTTTGATAATCACTTGACCTAAATCCCACAGAATTTTTAGGAAGAGTTGGACAGAAAAATTTTATTCATCATCGAAAGATGAGCTTTGATGTGAACGAATTTGAAAAGAAATTTCAAAAGAAACAATCACAAAATTGATTGCAAACGTAACAAAAGTTGTGACAAGTGTTATTAAACATAAAATATAAAATGTTTTTCAATGAAGGAAAAATTTAGACATTGCATTGATTAAATTGAAATATAGTTATTTTAATTAAAAGTTAAGTTTTGTTTTCTCAATGTCATCATTTTCTTATGTTTGAAATAAATTTTCATTAATAAAATTTATTTTATACAGTTTATTCTTTGTGTTTTTATTGATGTTTTTAAACTTTTCACCTGGGGTGTATAATATTTCTGTCGCTATTATTGACAAAGAGAATTCGAATATTCAAACTAATCGAAAAAAATTATTCTGACCTCAATCAACCTTGTTTGCATTATGTTTCATTCACGTGCAAAATTTGCATCGTAACAGCTCGAAAAATTTTATCGTCGTATCGCGCTGAGGTATCTCTGCTTGTTTTTTCGAGTGAAAGAGTCAGAATCGTTTTTCAGCTCGGTAAATGTGACGGTGAAGAGGTAAAGCTGGAAATTGGCGAGCTTATTTTCGAGTGAAAAGTGTATCATGGATGTCTCGGTGACTTCCTGAATGCGAATGTGCGAATAATTGTGCTCAAAAAGGAAAATTATCACTTCGGATTCATGCAAAATTTGAAGCAATATTTTATATCTCATTTAAATAACGTATTAATTTTCCGTAAAAATTATTCATTTGTTTTCTTGATAATAGAGGAACTAGTTTTCCATTAAAATCGAGATTTATTCGAATATCAATTAAATATTATATTTTAACACATTGAAGATTCTATCTAATTTACACTACGTTTGGATTAAATACTGGCACAGATCATCATTCGCAAAGTGAAAATTTATGATTCTTTATCTATAAATTATATATGAGTGACAAAATAAATACCCATACATAAAAGACTTTATTATCTTTAAAATGAACAGACATAATTTAAACTCATTTTTAATGAATTACTTATTACTTGATAATGAACATTTAATGTAATTATTTTTCAATTACATTTTTACTATCTATACTAGTACTATTTTTATTAGTCTGAAATAGGTATCCAAATTTTCGTATGCGATATGCATCAGATTTTATAACATTTCATCCTAATTTTTTGAATAATAGTTTTAAATTACTTCAATATGCACTTATGATTGATAAATTTGAAATGGAATGGAAATAAAAGTAATACAAGTGAACAATCAGGTGTTTCTTATTAGTTCATAAATAAATAAATAAAAATTGTGCACACGAATTTAACTTATGTTTATTTATTCTGAAAATGTTTCTTTGAATATCAGAATTTATTTGTTATTTTGCAAATATAACTTTTTGTTCATACATCAATATACAGATATTATTATTTCATTTTGTACATCAATTATCGATGTTTGTGATTTAATTGAAGATATTAGATAATATTTACCGATAAAGAATCACGAATTTCCAAATAATATTGGCAATAACAGTAATTTGATGAGACATATTGTCGACATATTACATATAAACATCATTTGATATCTCCTATTAATTTTCGAGCGTATCAATTATCGACGTATTCAAAAGTTGGTAAAAGATATCACAGATAGTATATTATATTCATATAATATATTTGTCTATGAAGAATTGAGAATTTCCGAAGCGCATATATTGACGATATATCGAAAAAACTGTTGAAATTATCAGCCGCTGTCTTATCATCTGCTTTAATATTATATCAATGAAATGGAATTGGAACTCCCTGCATGCGCATACAAAATTTTAATAATGCAACAGTGTGCGAAATAAACTGTTCTCTACAATCCGACTTTGATCGATGCGAATTCAAAATTTATATTCGCGGTGCTATCCTGATACACCGTTTTAAAATGTAAACTCTCTCTGTTTAATTATTTCTTACTTGTGTCGACTGCTAATTTTCCAGTATTTAACAGTATTTCTGTTCATTACCAACGAATATGCATATCTAATAAATTGCTCTGGAGAAAGACTCTCATGCGTTGCGCAAAAGTCAAAGATATTGTCAGGTGTACTATATATAGTGTAAATATAAAAAATGTCATATATATTTATTAGATACATTTGATGATATTTTCAAGGAGAATACGCTACACGTGAAAATATTTGTGTGATATCATAGCTAAAAAAATAAATAAGCAAAAAGTAACGTTATAATTAAAAAAGTTAGATAAAACTAATCCGACAGTTCTTTAATCCGACATTCTTAAAATGTCTAATTCATTTGGTGGAAACATTAAAGATGACAAATATTAAGAATTGATTATTTTACATATCGAATATCAGTAACAAAATCTTAGAAAATTATAGTGTTATGATCGGCAGATGCTTTAAAATGTGGTTAAAGTAAGACATCGGCAAAATTCATAATTCGTTGAATGTACGATCCACGCCGTTGGAATAATTCGTGAAATCGCACGGCTAGCGATTTGCAAAGACCCTGTTAGACACCCTGATAGACACGCGTCAGCTCATGTCTAAAAGAGCGCTTTCTCTGGAGCGATCTCGCGATGTTGAAAGAACGAGATTTGTGAGCCCGAAGTTTGATTAGCGTGTTTCCGGTTGGCAGGGGAAGCCTTTTCACCTCGCAAACAAGTTCGGTGACAGAGGCGACTAGCGACGAAATTGACATCGATATCGAAGAACCGCAGAGAGTAACTACGTAAGTATCTACTTTTGATTTTATTATGCGAGCTACATCTCTGTCTTATACTGCGCTTACGGCGGAAATTGTGTCGGAAAATTAATGATAAACATATTATGTACATATATATTCAGATAAGTGAAAGGAAAAGTTATTATTAAATTATTATTAATTATTAAAAATGATTACTAAACTGTTACTAAACTGTTATGAATTAAATATAAATGAAATTAAGTTCATTAAATGTTAGTAAATGTTAAATTCAGTAAGTATGAAAATGTTGATTTTATACTATATGTCTATTATTTATTTTTATTTGTATATATCCGAGTAATAGATAATATTTTTTCTTAACGTGAAATATAATTTATAAGATCGTCAATACATGTAAATAAAACACAAGGGAATTTATGATCTATTTGATAACTTCTAAAACTCCCAAACCATCGCCACTATAGTCGATCATTGAGTTATTAAACGGCCATTTTGTATATATACCGAGTTCGCCGACCGAAATCGGAGTATAGAAAGCCGAAGAACGTATATCTCCATGCAAATGACTTCCACTTTGTATGCGAAATCGATAATATCGAAGAATTTTCCTATACCTCGTGCATATCATAAAATATATATATATATATATATATATAATAAATATCGCGCAAATCCGCGCGTGTCCTAGCGCCAGCTCCACTAGAATAGAATAAACTTCTATTTTTCAACGAAATTTAATTTCATGAAAGTCCTTTTTCTTCCTCGTACTTCCAAGTACATCTACTTGGTACTCGAGTTACTAAAGCTCGAATTCCAGTCCTTTGAAAAGGGAATCGAACGTGCAGCAGTTCGATCTCTAATACCGTCGAATGAATGCCTTGCAACTTTGATACTCATGTAATCTGATCATCATTTTTGTTGCGCTTTTGCATTTGCGTTCGCATTTTTCAATTTCTACCGTCTATTGCCAATCATTTCCAGCTAGATGTTAATCAAGACTTAATTAAAAATATAGACTATTGGACACATATATATTATACATGGATATTTCGAGTAATATTTTACGTGATATATTAATACAAATAATCATGATGAAATATTTAAGGAGTGAAAGTTGTCGAAATTAAAAAAAAATATGTCTTATATTTATACTATTTGAAATATTAAATAAATAATATTTTGATCATAAAAAGTTAAAGTAAACAAAATAACATTTTTTAATTTTTTTATTGATAACAAATATTTGTAATCAATAATCCTAATGAATGACAAAAACTTTTAATTCCAAGTATTCTTTAAAATCAACTGTACAAAATAAAAATAATTGGTAATGTATAGGAAGATTTTGAATTACTACTCAAATAAGTTAAACGTACATAAAAAACGTATATAAAAATCATGTATATCAAATTAATCATGTATATCAAATTAATACAGCACGTTGGCGATATTAAGTAATTGTTCAAAATTTAGATAGATATAAATTCAATTAAGAAAAAGAAATGAAGAAATACATATAAGATACCTAAGATCCGTCCGCCGAGCGATCTATCATCTCATTATTTTAATAATTTTTTAAATGAAATGTATGTTCTAAATATACTATTTAATTCCTGTATTAGAGTGTTATAATATATTATTTTTCTTTATAAGAGTTAAAGCAAATTTAAAAATACTATATTAGATAATTTCCAAACCGTTCAGAGAACTGTGTGCAATTTTTATGCAAGTAAGGATAATAAAACAATCTATAAAATTTTTACACTTTTATCAATGGTTTGATATATAATTTTATAAATTTATTTCAGAAATTGTCGAACTATTATATTTTGTATATATAATATTTTTGTTAAATAAATTTTGTTTTTTACAAGGTGATTGTACATTAATGTTTTATGGATTTTTTAAAAATATTTTATGAAATTTTTATTTCGCAAAAATATTTTAAGAAATAAATTTATCCTTTTATAAATAAATAAGTAAATAAATATACTTTAAAAGTTGGCTTTGTATATTTAGCATATCCTTGGACTTTTAATTCGATGATTTAATTTAACCACCTACATGGCTACATGATATATTTGACAATCTATCTGTGTTTTAATTTAAACACATCTTGACGAGATGAAATCTGCTCGGCTTTTCATTAAGAATTTACGACGTCCGAGACAACTAGACGGCATTTGTCGCCATTCCGCCAAAAATATACATATTTTCGTCGCGCATCACACTCAAGTACTTAAAGTAAAAGAGATGCGGACAGATGCGGAGAGAAGTCTCGGTGGCTTTTTGCACCATTGAGATTTCGAAGAGAGTCGAATTTTATTTTCGGGCATGTGAATAGAATACACGGTATTTCGCACAAAAGGTCTTTTCCGTACAGACTCGTGAGTGCTTTTTCCATCGCGTCATTACTTCGCGTTGGTATGAATGACCCAGATTTTGCAACGTCGAACAAACATGCCCGCTTGTTCGCATGTACACTTGAAACTTATATATAAAGACACTTGCCAGATTTTTCTCTCTTCTATCTTCTCTCAACCCCTTTTACTCTCGTAGTTCACTTCCGTTCGAAGCTTTCTTATGCTTGCCAACTAGAGAGCATTACAGAGAACAGATATTTTTTAGGGTTTCACTGCTGTTCACCGTCAATCACATGGTTTTGTTTAAAAATATTATTTTACAAATTCCGTAACATAAAACAGAGATTTTTCAGTCTCCCCACAATTTTCAGCTTTTTTATCCTACTTATTTATTTTCGTTTCTTATTGTTACTGCTTATTATACAAGTTACACGGGGATACGCTTTAATAACAATTGAAACACCGAATTTCAGTGATTTTTATTTTCTTTCCTTTAATTCTGAAACAATAATAATAGAGTTTTACTATTGTTTTTTTATTTCACTAGAATTAAACATTAGATCATGAGATCTTTTGCAAAATTAATAGAGAATTATATAATTTTTTTAATAATTTTATATTATAATTATTCGTAAGAAATGTTTTACTATAATATTGTATCTCAATTCTAATGATTCTCTTTGATAATTTGAAATTAATAATGTTACAGTTAATAATATGTGTATATCCTTTTGCTAAAAGTAAGTGCAAAAGTTTTTTTTAAATAAAGTTTTCTTCTATGAAAATTTTCTGTTTATGAAATAATATTTGCATTAAATATATATTGCTTATATAGAAAATTTTATATTGCTAAACAGAAAATTTTCATAGAAGAAAACTTTATTATAAGCAATATAATATATACGACGATCTCAGTAATGATTAAAAAAGATGAGAATAATAATTTCAATATTCAATTTTGTTTCTACGTTCTATATACAGAACATAGTGTTTTTCGTCAACGAGCTTTGCCGCTTTCCCTACCATAATTTATTAATTTAAATATCAATTTTTAGCTTGACAGAGGCACATCGAAATGCTATTCGGGCGATCAGGAAGATTAAATATTTCGTGGCTCGCAGAAAGTTTCAACAAGCTCGAAAACCGTATGATGTTCGTGACGTCATCGAGCAATACAGTCAAGGTCACCTAAATATGATGGTACGGATTAAGGTAAGTCAATCCTTTCATCTGAAACATACTTCTTCTATTTTAAACCGTCTTGTTTATGAGATAAATTATTGTGCTCTCGACAAATCATTCCGCATTATTTGTCACATAATGAGTTAATAATACACCTGCAAATAAACTTATTCCTCGTAATGTAATTGCTTATATTTGACAGCTTATTGAACGATCGCCAAAAGCGAATCTCTCCTGATCCCTGTTTAATCGACCATCATCAACGATTAGTTTGACATGTAAGATCGAAATCGGTGTAACGCGAAATCCATGTTATAAGACGATGGACTAATGTTGCTAATATACGGCGCAAAACAGCCACGAATTAATCAACGAATGTATCATTATGGTTTATACATCTACATTCATTCATTGTTCATCAGACGTAAAAATCGATTATATCATGTATATCAGGTCGTGAACATTTCAAGATATGAATTTTGACGTTCATCTGGACATATTTGTGAAATATACATGTATCATATATTAACAGTACTTAGTTTATCATTGATTTTTTTTTATTTTATTCGTCATATATTAACAGTTTTAATTGCTTTCAACATGATGCTCATCAAATTATTTGACGATAAATTAGCTCGTAAATGATCTTTGTTATTAATTCCATCGGCGTTCGAATAAAATAACTTATATAAATAATATATTAATAAAATAACTTTTATTGTTTAACGATTGCTGCCAAAAGAACGATGGCGATGGTGTTAAAAAGCTAACAAAGACAAAATGTCAATCACAATAAACTTAACTTTTATACGTTGTCTTTTGTTTGCCGAAAAAGCTTCGATACTTGGCGAGGAACGAATATAGCGTTCTACTATGTATATAGAGGAAATCGATAACATCCTCAAGCTTTCGGTATTTCACAACGAGTTTTACTGGCGATTTTAAACTGCTTGTTTAAGTGCAACAAGAGCTTCTTTGGAAAGGGGTATTGTTTAATAATAGCGCCACGTTGATTCTAATCTCGATCAAAATTTTACTTTTTGTCACTATGTTTATCTGCTGTTTTATGGTGCAAGAATCATACGATAATTTCGTGAACACCTTTTCCAAATTTACTCCATTATTTCGACCACAATATTGTTGCAAAAACGACTGTGGGAATGTGAGAAGTTGGGGGAGAATGAAGGAAAGAACATGTGAATACAATATTAATTAGTAATATGAAGTATTTATAGGAAATAACGATTTCTCTTTTCACATCTGCATTGTCTACGAGTCTCGACCGTTGCATTTTTCGGCGTAGTTCGGCGTGGTGTACATTTACGTGTGGTTGATTTTACGTTCGATTTGTACGCAGGAATTACAGAGGAGATTGGATCAGACTCTGGGTAAACCGGGGAGCTACCTGGCTGGAATCGACCGGGCAGGCAACGTAAAACCTATGACGATTGGTGCGCGGTTATACCGAGTGGAGCAGCAGGTACGTCGATCCCTTTAATCACACTCATGTTTCTTTTATGAATATCTAATCCTCCCTCTAATCCTTAATTCTTAAGTGCTGCTTGACATATCTGTGAATCTTACTTTGTATACGTAGTATATACATACATATATGTATGAATTTATATTCCTTTTTTTTTTTCAAATATTCATATATTCATGAAAAATTGATAATTAACTAAACTCATAATAAAATCTTGTTCACATTTGTGAAAACTCTTTATCAATCTTATCTCATTTTTTTTAATATTTTAGTCCTCGTTCCTTTACAAAATATAAAACGTGCAATCAGATCCTTTTTCATCATTGTTTCATCATTCTTTCTATTCCGTCCATTCTTTCTATTCACAGAATTAAAAGAAAGAAAATGTTAAATGGCAGGGAATACGAATGAAATTTGTAATTAATCAAAGTTAGTAATCTTCAATTTTTTAGAATTGCTTTTTTAGAATTGCAAAATTTTGTATAATCTCATTAAGAGTATGATTGATTATAGAAAAATTATAGGTGATTATAGATAAATTGTGGCATATTAGAAGATATTATTAAATTAGCCCTTACATAAACAATCCAATAAATTTTTTTATGAGCGGGATTACTATTGCTTTGTGATAGACATCTGATGCGCATCATAATAAAAAAGTGTATTTCTATATTTTGAAATAGCTTCTTTGAATATTTTATTTTTATTTTACAAGTAACAAAATATATTTTTAATATTAAAATATTAAAATATTATGCAAACTTTGTCTAATTTAAAAAAATCCTTAATTTTTTTAATCCGACAAGTAATTTTTTCCTTTATAAAATTATATATGTAAAAAAAATAAGAATGTTTTTTTCTTTGATAATAATTAAATGTATTCTGTAAATGTATAAGTTTGCATTTTTTAAATGCTGCGATGTGTCTGAATACTTGAAAAATCAGAAAGTCTTTAAAGAACTTTTTCTATATTTAGTTTATTTTATATAAATTAAAGAAAAAAATTTTTCTCTTGATGAGAATGTACAATCACAGATCCGAGTATGTCTGTACAAAATTTTCTGCTTTCAGTTATCGGTGATGGACAAGAAGTTGGATCAATTGGTGTACGTATTAAATGCAGTAGCGCAGAAACAACAGATACCTCTACGTAGTATAGAAGACGATGTGTAACAGAGAGCCCCCAGCGAACTCATGCGCACTCAATTCGTCTTACAATCACCCGCGATTCCGGGGATCTTACCTCGGGTTACTATAACCACGGTGACTCCAAATATGCTCAGTGAAAGCTCTTAATGATGAAGACAGCAGCGACTGTACCCAAACGTGTCCAGAAAGTATAAATAAATTATAGCGAATACTGTTCGAGTCTATATATCTTCTGGGAGACTGTAATCAGAAAACGTTGAAATAACTATAGTCTCGATGACATCGCAACAATCGATAGTTCTGTTTCCACTCTTAGCTTTCTGTTGTCGTTACAGAAATCATATGCAATCTTATAACTCGATGGAATTATGATCAACACTAACATTATCGTCTTATCAGTGGAAAAGCGATATCCAAGTTAAGAGAAATGTGATGATTCGAGACTAAGAGAAATCCTCAAGAATGACGCAAATAATCATGATGAAGTCAAACGCACAGAATGGATAATCAAGTCAACGAGGCGCGGAGTTAGGGTACAAAAATTGTAGATCGCAATTATTATACTATACGAAATGACGTTTCGTCGAATGAGAACGAAACTATATGTATTGCGTATTAAAGCAAGTTATTAAAGTAAGGATATATATTAATGCTAGATCGAGTTGAGCCTATGAAAATCGATTTTGTGTGTGAAGAAATTCGAAAGAATTTAAAAAGAATTTCCATATTTTCAGTTCGCCGAAAGAATGGGTAAATACATTAATGGGAACATTATTCGGGCCAACTAGAAATAATAAGGAAGAACAATAAGCAACACTGAATTTCCTAGGACAGATTTTAAATCTACTAATTGAATTCAATGACTGCTAATCGTTCCATTGATCGATTGATCGTTCATCAAAGCGAAAGCATGTTGTCAACATCAGAGCGATTTTAATGATTCTGCGGGGTTTACCATTTTAAATTGTGGTTGCATTTTATCATTAATCTTTGGCATGGATTCCACAAGAGTAGAACCTAAAACCTTGCGGAGTGTTTCCAGTTCGATTTTGCGAACGCAAATTCTGATTTATTTGTCTCCCGATTTAATTCTTCGGCCTAGCATAAATATAGATATTTCGAGATAACCCGCTTTAAGCTCGTATATACAATTTTTCCATCTCTTCTTTTTCTTATGGCATTGCCCAATCGCACTTGCCTAAAGCGCTTGTTCCTGAAGAGCAATACGTCTACATAAAATTTAGATGCTTCGTGCTATTCCGTGAAACTATATGATATATGATATGCAATGTACACGTATCCGTAATATTAGTCTTCGATACACGCGTGAGTTGCTGTAGATACGTCTTAAAGATTTAAGAATATCCCATGAAAATGGAAATGAGGCAAAAAGAAAGTGTATATATTGCGAATTGTATAGAGTATCATTCTTTCATATATACAAATACAATTTATATTTTATACGTACATTACTTACGGAACATTTTACGATCGGAAACACGCACTACAATGAATCCCACATGCGATTTATATTAGTCCGTTACAATGTTTTCTTATTTAGGATCGATGCCGCGAACTGCGATGTGGCACGGAACTTTGAGACAAGCAATTTAACAGTTTCTTTTAGATCAGATTGATTGAACAATTCGAAGGAGAACGATTGAGTAACAGTATGAAGGGTAGTTGTGGTTCTTATGATTTCTCGACTGCCAAAATAGATCTAAACGAGACGAGCAATATAATGTTAATAAGTTCAGATAAGCGAATTCGCGTCGCTTCGCGATTCGCGGCTTCGCGTTGATCGACTTTAATGACCAGTCTTTCGCGGGCGGGAGATCGTTCTTTACTAAGCGAATCTATCGCACTTTATATATTTATCACTTATATCTTATATATATCATGTACATATATATATATATATATATATATATATACAGTGAAAAGTAGATTTAGACTTTCTTAAACAAAATGAAACAGAATGAACAGAAAGCTTCTAAGAGTATTTTTATCACACAGAGAGAGACATATGTATACATATACAAATGTATACATTACATTATATACATGCAGAGGGGGACGTCTAACATGTACACTTTGAAAAACTTGTAAATTATACTTTATATAAGAAATTATTATGTGCAAAAATTGTATAACTTCGAGGGAGTCATTACATATAAATTAAATATTAATTTCTTTTAAATATGAAGGCGTTTTTGAAAATTTCAAGGTTAACTTAATTTTTTAAATGGAATGTTATATTTTTTATCAGTTATAATAGAATGTTATATTTTTTCACAGAAAGTATATTTAATTTATAACATATAAATGTATCATATGTATTCATTTTGGTAGCAGTTTTTATTATACAGTTTAGAATTATACCTGGTTACAACTGTCAATATTAAAACTGTCAGTTTTTCGAAAAGATTGATACAGTGTGTGAAGTATCCATCGAGATGACTGATTTTCAGGATATTTTTCAATATACATAATTTTAGTTCTTTGTAATATTTTCACCGCGCGCATTATAAATTATAAGCATATTTTTTTCATTAGAAGTAAATTTTATTTTTATGATACGTATGAAGTTCATACGTATCATAAAAATTAAATTAAATTAATTGTTCATACTATGAACACAGTCCGACATCATTCATCACTGCATTGAATGACATAGAGTGAGAGTCGTCCTTATTTGTGTTATTTAACAAATATCGCTGACTTATTCGTCTTATATTTATTTAAAATATTAAATTTCCAACTTTATTTTAGATCTATTAGGCCTTTAAGGCCTAATTCTTGGTCAATAAATGATAATATATTTGTACGCAAAAATATAATATTTTATTTAAGAAAAATTAAGTTGACTTTGAAATCTTTGAAATACTTCACTTTAAAAAAAATTTATATTCTATACAATGACTTCTTTGAAATCACTCAACTATTATATGTAACAATTTTTTGTATATATAATTTGTAAGATTTTTGAGGTGTTACATTAGATGACCCTCTCCGTAGACACATACACCACACACGCGCGCGCGCGCGCGCGCGCACACACACACACACACACACACACATTTATATGTATGTATGTATGTATGTATATACGTATATATAGGTGTAGGGTCCAAAATTATACACATTTTACAAGACTTTCTCGTGAACCAAAACACCACTTTACTGCTACAATAGACGTGGTGCTTGATTCGAGCCATGCAATTCGTTGAATTGACGGATTATACGAATGATTATTACTGATTGCGAATACTCGAATATTGTGCATTGTATGATTACTTCGTTTTATGCGCCCAAACAATTTAAAATTTCTCTACACTTTTTTTTACACTATAATAGTTTGCATCATGCTAGTTTCATTTTTATTCTAAAAAAGTGTGTGTGTGTGTGTGTGTGTGTGTGTGTGTGTGTGTGTGTGTGTGTGTGTCTGTGTGTGTCTGTAGCAACTTTTTTTTAGAATAAAAATGAAACTAATGTACATATATATATGTACACACGCACACACCACATTTAAAAATTATATAAATTAATTTATTATTAAATACGAATGCGCTCAACTGTTCTTGAATTAAGCACAACCTCTATCGATTATAATAAAATGGTAGTCAAAAGCCGATTATCTTCAAGAAATTTAATAATTTTCTTTGGAAATGTACCTCTTAAAAAATAAATATTTTTATCAAACCTTCTCTCGTTTTGACCGCACATGTTGCTAGTTTTCGATAAGCATAATAGATATTTAAGGAACTCTCCAATTTTGACAATTCTGTTCAATAATCAATATTTATACTCAATTTTAATAATCAATACTTTGGACAATTTTACACGATACTTCATGCAGTCCTAATAATTTTTATAACTGATTTTTTATGACTGAATCTCGCTGTATACTTGACTATCAGTTTATTATAAATGTGTATTTCATCGAAATATATGAAGAAAGTGCACTGGAAAATGTAAGAAAATACTCTGTAAAATACGCTTTAGCCTATATGTGCGTACAAGCACACTCTATGGTGCCTCTCACTTAACTTATTCCACTTTAACACGATCGACTAATAAAATTTACAATAACATTTACGTATAGATCATAAATGATATTGTATATAGGTAATGGCGATTATACAACATAACTCTTTTAATAATTAGTAGTTACTAATGATGTGACGAAGAATGTTTCATTTATCTATCTATTGTTTACGTGATGATTGTTCTTTTAATTTCGTCACCATCAAATCTTGCATCTGCAAGCTCTTCAATTTTTGTTTACAAGATCTTTTATCAAGATTTACCTTTCTAAATTCTTTGCACAGCTCATGTCATAAAGAAACTTGGAGAGCTTGGATTAGCGAAAAAGGCGCGTGCACGATGAACGAAATTTAAATATATTATACGTGATCATAAATAGGTAGAGATGGCTATTATTATAGAAGTAGAGACAATCAATAAACGTCATTAACGTGGCGTTGTGTGAAAATCAAATTTCTTTTCGCGATCTACTGGTGACAGTCTCGATATAAACGATTTAGTCAACGAAATACATGAAGTAGATTGATAAATTTCGTTTATAGCCATGTAAATCGGTGATATTTATGACCTCGATGCTCTAAGCATTTTGTTATTTTGTTATATAAATTATTATATCGACAATTATTATGTCGATTTGTTATTGGTGGTACAATTAAGAAAAAAGCAATCCGATATGATATGTAAATAAAAAATGTGAAATGATATCTTTTTATAAAACTGCACATTTTGGATTTACTGTATATAAAATGATTTCTCTTTTCCAATTGTAACACCAAGAACCAATGCCTAATCATTTTGTATAGAATATATTTTTGTTGAAGAAGCTCAAATATATCATATTAAATGAAAACTTTATTTTTTACTATTTTATAAATTAAAAGGAAGAAAATTTGATTTTTAATTTATGGATGTATAATTGAAGTTTCTATTTGCTTATAAATTCTTACAGTTTGAATATGGTCAAATTATGATTGACAAAAATCATTTTAATATGTTAGTTACATTTTTTTCTCTTCAAGAATCATGATAATGAATTATTAAAATAATGGAAAAATAATGGAAAAGAAATATGTAATTGTAGATATGAATAAATAACTAATAATATATTGCAAAATAAATCTCGTAAAGGATCTCAGAATGCAAGTAGTGTTCGTGAATCGGCCGAAAAAGTATGTAATATAATTTTTATCATTAAATACATATATACATTATATCATAAACATGCAAATCGTGTACTTATGCAATCGAAATGTCAAGTGAATTAGAAGTGTACATACTTAGAAATTATTTAAAACGATAATTTAAGCTTAATATGTATAAGTACAGTTCTTTTTTCCTAATAATAACTACAATAAATTTAATTAACGCATATAACATTGAACCAGAATAATAACGTAACGAGTCATACATAATAAGATCGAACGAGGAAGTTCGTTATTATCGCGGTTTAAAGTGTGATAACGCGCAATTTGCTCTAGTAAAAAGTTAGAAGACCGCATGTGGAGGATCTCGCGCAATTGCCTCTCTCTTTTTGCCTATCGTAAAACTTCAGATACCTCTGCTCTAGTTTAGACCAACTCGCCAATAAACTCTTATCGCCGATGTCCGACGGACTAATTCTAACTTAGTTAATATATTGCGCTAATCAAGTATCAATTACATAATCCCTATAAATCTCATCTAGTTCTAAACTGCGACTGCGATGGATTTGAACTTGGCGAATCTTTATTCTATATACGCGCGTTTTCATGGATTATGTGCCTATACTAGTCTGCGTTAGAGCAAGAATGAATTTAGGAGATATATCAAAATTCTCTAGTGCCCTTTTTTTTCATTAAGATCCTTTTCCTTTTGAAGTGTGACGTAAATCCATGCTGGACCTATCTATGCGTATATTTCTATTGTAAAATATATTCTAGCTTGCGACTTCGCAACGATTATAATAGAAAACCTATTAATACATAAAATAAAAATCCGATGCCCGCATTTGATACTGCACTTTTTGGCAAGTTCCGTTAGTTTAAACCTGCGATTAAGGACAAATAATTAAATAATGATATTTCTATTTCTTCAGTTGTCTTCAGTTTTCTTCAGTCGCCATAAAATGTAATAACATGCATGCCGAAGAATATTAGGTAGTTCAGAAATTCTAAATCATTTAGAAAAGGTAATTTAGATATTCTATGCTAGAAAAAGAGTGATTTAGGTATTCTATTCTAGATTATTGTAAAAAGTGCCGTTTTGCACATAGACACTTAGGCTACTGACGTTAATTCATACGAATGTGCAAAAAGTGGGACCGTACATCTGAAATCCGTTTTTGCCTTCTATCTATTATAAATCTATTATAAAAGCCATTTTGTAATGCGTATCTAATCGAATTCGATATCATGCGGATACTAGATATAAAATAAATA